CCAAGTGCCCATCAGCCGATGAATGGATAAAAAAAGCTGCTGGTGACATTTACACTATGGAATCCTATGCAGCAGTAAAAACGATGGATCTCTTACCCTTTGAGACAGCATGGAGGGACCTGGAGAGTATCATGCTAAGTGAAATAAGCCAGTCAGAGAAAAACAAGTATCACATGATCTCACTCATATGTGGAATCTAATGACCAAATTTAAACTGATAAACAAAATAGATCCAGAGACATAGAAGCATGGAACAGACTGATGAATCTCAGGGGGAAGGTGCGGGTGGGTGGATGGGTGGGTGGGAAAAGATCAACCAAAGAACTTGTATGTATATATGCATAAACCATGGACACAGACAATAGGGTGGTGAAAGCCTGGGGCTGGCTAGAAGGAGTCAATGGGGGGAGAGGAGAAGGTGACATATGTAATACTTTCAATACTAAATATTTTTTAAAAATACCCTCAGGTGAGGCTGAATAAATAAATAAATAAGAGGATATTGGAAGCACTTTGTATACTAAGGAATCAGGTGACCGCTGTTCCATGGAGCATCTGGTGGTTCTGGTTGAGTCTAGCCCAGTGGATGCTCTCCATTCACATCCCACTCTATGTGGTCTATCTGCATGACTAGTCCTCCCCTGTCTCCAGTTTTCCCTCCATTGGGGTACAACTGGGGCTGGATTGTAAGGCTGAAACCTGGTTCTGCGCCCCAGCTCACCCTGCACCCCAGCTCAGTTGGAAGGGAGCTTTGGAATCTCCCCTACCTGACAGCTTCTTTCCTGTTATCTCTCGCACTATTTTGAAAGGACCTCCCAACCTATAGGATTCTGATTCCTACCAGATTACTACGAAGCCCCATGTTCCCCTTGGCCTGAATCCCTTGGATAGAAACACCTGCCCTAACCAGAGCAGAATTGGTTAAACTTCCTTGATCTTGGTAGCAGTGTTGTTTCTTCATGGAGGTAGCCATATCCTCTGCCCCTGTTAGTGTCTCCCAGCTCTTGCTAGCATTTGACTTGCACTCCCCATTCACTAGAAACACTGATATGTTGTGTGGCAAGGGGTCAAGATAATTGATCTGCCCGGCCAGAATGGCTCAGTGGGTTGAGCGTCATCCTGTGCACCAAAAGGTTGGCAGTTCGGTTCCTGGTCAGGGTACATACCTGGGTTGTGGGTTCAATCCCCAGTTGGGAAATGTAAGGAAGGGAACCAATCGGTGTTTTTCTCTCACATCTGTGTTTCTCTCTTTTTCTATCTCTGTTCCATTCTCTAAGCATGTCCTTGGGTGAGGATTAAAATAAAATAAATATATAAAAATTTTTTAAAACAAAAAGATTCCTCCCATCTCATTAGGTTTGAGACCCCACTGTTTTGCCAGTTGAGGCTTTCACTGGTTCAGGACTTGGGATGGCTGATTTTTAGTTCTCTAAGCAAGGAAAGTAGGGAATAAGAAACTATGAATTTCTGTTTTCAGATGCAAAAAGTTCACTGTGTTTTAAGTAGCAATCAACTCAATTATCCATAGTAGTGGAAGGGAGTAATGACATATTTCTATGCAGCATTGTCCTAAATCA